CACATTGATCATTCTGACCCGTCTAGTTGGTGGATTTTGTTTAAAATTTCCAAACAATACTCATGGATTAGTCGCGTGTTTTGAGATAGCTCAAGTTAAGATTGCTTGTATGGTTGATTCATATGCGATTAGAGATTAAAACATATTCGTGCATGGCATCTTCATTGGTTAGGCATATAATTGCAGTTCGGAGGTGTTGATTTCTTCGAATCTGATGGAGGACGATGCGTCATAGATGGCCTGTGGAAATGCTACAGGTCTGGTCGATTTTGATTCGGTTACCGAATCCTTTAGACGGGCCAATGGGTTTGGTCTACTTGTGGATCTCGCTGGCTGAAAACACTGAATGCACGCCCAACCTGTCAGCAAAGCTGAGGGAGTCACTAGAGCGTCTTCTGCGTCTTCTGAATAGGCTTATCGGTGAAAGAGTTGTGTGCAGAGAGGGGCCAAGTAATTGAAAAATTGGTTTCCTTAATGTAAGCAACATTTATCCTCTCTTACAGTAGGCTGTACAGTTGATGGTTTTGCTACCACCACTGTTCCTTCAGTGACGTGGTGACGTGGTTTGTAGGTGTGATATGAAGAGTCCAGACACACTGGAGACGATAGAGCTTTGGGTGTGGCAGGACATGGTGCACAAGTGGTTATTGCTGTCCATTGATGCCTTGCAGAAGGAAAATGGATATAAGTTCAGGGTTCGTAAATTTTCCAGATTGCAGGACTGCTTTTTCCCATTGCAAATATTGGTCGACATAAATTTGCCCTTTTTATCTGATCAGTAGTCACTTTTACTTGACCCAAGTATTTGCTGCTTCCTTTTTGATCAAGTTAGCCTAAAGTTGTTGAGGATTCTTGCCGGTCCACTACTACTTAGGTGTATCTTCAAATTCCCCCTTGATAATGCCATACTACTTGGATAAGTCACCCTCCTACAGTGGTGATTCCTACTTAGTAAGACTTTGACACATCGCGACTGCTGCCTCAACGTCGAATGGGCGGTATTTGCAGTCTGTGTGGGGTTCATGTTTAGACAACCTAATGGGGGGATTCAGGGGACTTTAAATCTCGACTGAATACTCTGAGCTGTAGTCGTTTTGATCCTAGGTCGTGGTGACAATCTTGTCTGCGTTTCTTTTTTTGAATTGCCAATGCCCAACAATGTCTCCCCGCCTGTTATTTACACATTTGACGTTACTGAATCGCACGTGGACCTAACATCCACCAGACCATTGAAGAGTATAGTGCAATTCTTGATGGAACTCGTCGCAGCCACTCGTTGGGGTTCGTAAAACGCGTGCGTCAGTATCAATATGATATTCTTTATGTTTTCGGATTGAGTGTTCCTAATTATTAGCTAAAGTTAATGTGGTTTGAGCTCGTATGCTGTAGAAACGAGGTTTACTTCTGTTCTAAGGCTGAAATAGAATGTAGTCTTTTGTCAGGCCTTTCCCTGCATTTGGAAATGG